ACTTTTGTTAACCATGTTTGGCAAGACAATAAGTAAAATTAGGTTTGATATAATTAAGTTAATGGGGGAAATTAAAGATGAGAAAAAGGTGGGTGAGAAATGTCAATTATCTATAATCACATGGAAACCATTCAGTAATAAGCAGTTGATGCTAATAAAGATTGGATTAACATGTGAACAAAGTTGGTAACCTTTTGCTTAAACATCATTTATTGTATGTCGGGGACCAACAAAAATTATTAAAATTATTTTAACTTTGGTTTATTAGTGATTAATCAAGCACGAGAAATGGAAGAGATAATCTGTCGGAGACTCATAATTTTCGCTAATATTTTGTTACTAATATATAATGAGAAATTATTTATCGTTTTTAAATTCTACTAATGAGATTAAAAATATGATACGTGCTTTTTAAGATATATTTAAAATAAAAATATAACATATGTCAATTTTTTAATATCGTTTGTAAAATTAAAAATTTATATTAATAATGTATAAAATATTAACTTTTTTATAAAATACTTTATTTCTTTATAGTGTTTTTCAATGAATTATTTTTTTAAAAAAAATTCACATTATTGTGACATAAATATCTTCGTCTTTATTTTAAATTAGTGCTTTTTATTGATAAATATCAATTAATTTTAACTTGAATGTTCTATTTATTAAAGCAATAATACCAATTTATCATACGTAGTTGAATCTTCTTATCCATGCATTTTTAACATACATTTCATGTGAGTGCCCAACATTATCAAGTATATATGGGCCTAGTCAATTTGCAGAAAACTTTTGGCTAATTACTCTTGTGAATACTTACGGATGATCAAGGTAATGGCTGGTACTGAATTGGTATTTATTATGAGGGCCCTGTGGCCATGTTATGTTAACTCATCAAATTTCCAATTCCATTATCAATTTTCTTTTCCCTTAATTTTTTTTCTTTTGGCAAAAAAAAAATAATTGAGGAATAGATTGTGGTTCATAATGCTTGAATTCCCACAAGAAAAGCCACATGCAAAGGGCAGTACATGAAGTCAATTTCCATTGCTAATTAGAGGTGATGTATATGGGACCTTTTGTACAGTTTTGCTATTTGTATGCCAAAGCTTTTTTCTCTTTGTTAGAATTCCAACTCCACCAAACATAAAACTCTAAAATGTCATTTTCTTTTCTAATTAAGTCCCCATAACAGCCTTTATTTTGGACTTGCAGTACTTGCAGTTCAACTCTAGATTCCAGCTTTTGGAAATTCCAAATCTAATTGCCATGTTTTTTTTTTTTTAATCTTTTTCTCCAACATTTTCCAAGTTAGAAAAAAAATTTAGGAAGATAAGCTTTGCTTGCATTTATTTAGTACACATTTCTCACAAAAAACATGTATATAATAGCATCACCTACATGCTACATGAGTTATCAAATTGACATGGAAAAGAGTTCCATTTCCTTGTCAACTAGGATACAATTCTCGTGAAGAATATTCCAAAAATAAAATCCTAATGCATTATAGACCAATGTAAGAGAATGCGTTTTGAAAATTACCCAAAAAAAAAAAGATTAAGTTCAAACAAAATCTAAAAATATCCGTGATTATATTATACTATATATATATATATTTATATATAATAGCATCTATATAAGGAAAAGGTGCATGCATTATCAAATTGATTAAAAGCAATTACCACAAGACTGAGACATTTCGAGTTAAAGAGTGATGTTGCGTGGAAAATTCATGTATGTACTTCAATTTTTTTTATATGTAGCTGCTTTCAATTTGACTCAAGATGATCTATAATTAATATGTTGTTTGTTGAATATGTCAGGTCATATATATATCTATAACTTTTTTTCTTTAGAATTCATCAAATTTTATTTAGTAAATCAATACTGTTAGTCGACATTGCATTTACGCAATGTTTTTAACCTTCTAACACGTTATTTAATCATTATGGCGCCTCTTATATCTCACAAAATCATCTGAAATTTATGAAAACTTGTTATGCTATATATCTAAAGGCTTGAACGTTAGCCCATATTTACAACACGTCTTTTATAGATACAATTATGAAACTAATTGGATCAAAGCACTACTAAAAAATGGACTATTCCTATTAGCAATTACAATTTGCAATGACTGTAAATATCATTGTAAGATCTCATTATATTTGCAACGATTGAAAATATGTTGCTAAATCTCATTATATCTCCCAAGTTATATTAGGTCAGGCTACTACAGTTACGTCTCATAAATATTTGAATTAATTGAATATGTGACATAGTAATCTATTTCCCTTAATCATTTCAAAAGTGGAATTACCACAATAGCTAAGTGGTAGCTGAAGATCGGAAATTATAAAGAAAAGAGAAGAAGACAAGGGAAAGTGTGAGTCTATTATCCTACAAGATTCTTCCACATAATTATCGATTATCATGTGAACAGGTACCTAAAATCCACATGTTAGTAACTATTATTGATTTTCCTTAGAGAGGAAAAAATATACCTGATCGAGGAAAACATGGCCACCCTAAAAGAAACTAGAAAAATTGTCAAAACCTAGCTAACTGGCATATTCATGTTGCATATTGTAACATTTTTTATATAATTAAGGCCATAAGGTAGAAAAAAAAATTTATAAATATTAAAATTTAAACTTCAAATATTCTTGCTGTTTCTTAAATTATATGAATTAATTAAATTAAATTTTAGATTATGCATATTATAACTTAATATATATATATATATATATATTGAAATAAAATATGAGGTTTGGAAACATCAAAGATTCCCAGCATCATGTTGATTCAAGAACATGTGGTTGGCAAAAACTTAAATAATCTGTGTAGATGTTGGAGTAATAAGATGGAGAGAAAGTGAGAGCAACAGAGAACTAGGAAGCGGGGGGGTCCTTGGAGAAGGGGCAAGGCAAGATCTTTTTTTTTTTTGTTTTTGCTAGTGACACCGACACGTGACTCTGCTAGACAAAAGCATGGTAATTTCATATTCATACGGTTGTGTTAGAAAATTTTCATCCTTATAATATAAAAGAAATATTGTATAAAATAGTTATTTCATATCAATCTATATTTTTTCATTTAAATTATGTCGTATAATTATATTATTAAAAATTAATTAATTATTTTATATTATATGTAATAATTAAATGATAAATTTTTATATTAATATAATTATGTAACATAATTTAAATAAAATAATATAAACTAATATTAAATGAATGTTTTATATAATCCCTTCTCTATAATACAATGTACTGGGCTAAAACATGCCACTTGTCATGTCGTGTGTGCCAGTGAATGAGTGAAGAGTTGGGTAATTTCGACGGTTTGAAGATCGTAAGGGTTTCCAACACTCACGTAGTTATGTCCAAATCAAGGAAGAAAAATCAATTATTTGAGAGAGATAGACTGAGATTTTTCCACTTATTAATTAATTACTAATTAAAATTTCTCATTAACAAAAAAAAAAAAAAAACTTTTACCTGCTTCGGTCAAAAACAAATTACTTGATCAACAAAGAGCTCATTTGGATCTGTGAGTAGCTCTGGTACGATGTGGTTGGAACCTTCAATCGTATCACAAATGTGTCTGACAAACAAGAACAGTACAATGGAGAGTGTTTTAATCGCGCTGTACCTTCGGTGATCGATTGTACTCTCATGGATCCAATTAAGAATTGTAGATCCAATTGCATTACACTTAGCATTTTTTATCCTTTTCTTTGTTTTTTCAATATTTTTCTTTTCATTTTGTTAATTTACTATTTTACTTAAAAGTTTTTACTTTTTTTTTTTCATTTTGTTAGTTTACTTTTTCAAAATTTCTATTTAAAGGTTTTCAAATTATAAATTCATTTAAAATAATAAATAATTTTATATAATTATAAATATATTAATTAATTAATATATTTAAATAATTTATAAAATAATGTGTCAATATTTTGATTGAATAAAATTTTTAAAATTTTAAATGTTAAATATCTTTAAAATATATATAAAAATAATTTATCAATATATTTTTAAATTAATGTCCTTAATGATAATTTTTTTTCATTATCCTTCATCTCACTATAATTATTATATTTACATCAAAATATATATTTTACCATTAATTTTAATTTTATTATATAATATTAATTTATTATAATAATTAATATTTTTATTGTTATTTTTAATCTCATAAAAATAGATCCGCTCTTTCAAATGGGCCTAAAATTTCATCGGAAAGTGTTGGGAAATCATGGGTGTTGGTGCACATGCTTATCATCAATTACCGTCTTTTCCATTTTTCTTGTGCCTAGCAATTCAATGAAATTAAAATTTTAAATGCACTAAATGTTAGCCAAGAGCCAAACAATGCATCCTTAAAAATCGTTGAATAATAGATTAAGATCAAACAAAATCTAAAAATATTATAAAAAAACATTTTCCATTAACTAATAACAATTCTTTTTTTTTTCTTTGGCACAATAAAAGAATCTAAAATGTCATGCCATCACAATTCATTAATTAAAAAAATCCGAAAACAACAAACTGAAAGGATCAGAATCATGTCAAAAGATTGAGTAGTGGAGAAGCAAAGGCAGAGACAGCTGAAACATAGGAGTTTTAAGAAGAAAGAAGAAGGGAAAACAGTTGATAAACAAAACAGGTTTTGTTTTTTTGAATGAGAATAACATGTAGAAGTGTCAAAAGCTGATTTGGGGGTTGTGGAATTCAGTGTTTAAAAGAGGGTGATTGGAGAGGAAGAAGAGGATGATCACATGGGTATGGCGTATTGAGACATGCACATGAAGGCCCACAATGTTAGCTCAAAAACAAACACATTTCTTTAAGCCGATTTGGTATCAAACCCAAAGTTGGGAACATAAACAACAAGGGTTTAATCACCACTTCTCTCTTTCCCTCTCTGTCTCTCTCTTTCAAGTTTTCACTTCAAAACCAAAGCTCCTTACAACTCTTGCTTTCTCCAATGCACTTGTCTTCTTCTTATCCAACACACTGTCTGTGTTACTGTATTCTCTCGCTCTCTCTCTCCTTTCTCTCATTCACTTCCCCTTCGAGTGGTCCTTCCTTCCTCTTTATATCCCTCTCATCACTTTCTCCAATTCCTCACATCTTATATCTAACACTACTCCTTCTTCCTCTTCTTCTTCTACTTCTTCTTCTACTTCTTCTTCTTCTTCTTCTTCTTTCCTTTTCCATTCTTGCTAAGTATATATGTAGTTCTTTTCCATCCCTATTTACATATCTTAATATCTCTGGCTATAGCTTGGGCGTTGGTTGTTGTTGAAACTTTAAACGCGTAGGCTTATACTAAGGGCAAGCACATTTCTTGGTTTTTGCTCATTTATTTTGGAAGCAGCTGACTAATATAAGACCTTATTCTGTTAATTTCCAAGATGTCAAACAGAAGGTCGAGGCAGTCGACAGCAGGTGTTTCCAGGATTTCAGATGATCAGATCATTGAACTTGTCTCCAAGTTACGCCAACTTCTTCCTGAGATTCGTGATAGGCGATCTGACAAGGTATGCTTCTCTCTTTCTCCATCTCTGTTTCAAGAAGATCAAGCCAAAACAAGTTGATTTTTTTTCTAAATGCAAAGTTGCAGGCAAGGTGTGGAAACCGTAACGTATTCTAATCCCCCCCCCCCCCCCCCCCGGTGCATGTGCCACAGCCCGCATGGGAATTGCATATTTCAGTTATAATAATAGTAATCTTCGAAAAAATCAGTTTAAAAACTTGACCCCGGATGTCAAGGAAACATATTTTCATGGGTTTAAGCTTCTCATTGACTTAGAACAGTGGCCTGCTTAGTTTGACCCTGGAAGAGGAAGCCAGAACCATCCTGTTTAGTTAACTAAAGCACAGTCCTAGCCTCAGTATGTGGGGTATAATGCACAACCCCTCAACAGTGTACTTTGTCGACTTAGGTCGATTTGATTATGAATTACTATTTGTTGTATATAAATCGACATTATAGCAAAATAATAATGTCAGAAGAAAGTGACTTATGGTTTAACATGGCATTGAATTTGACCGTACTCCTGCAGGTATCAGCATCCAAGGTTTTGCAAGAGACTTGCAATTACATTAGAAGCTTACATAGGGAGGTGGACGATCTGAGTGAACGACTGTCCCAGCTCTTGGCTACAATTGATGCTGATAGTGCTGAGGCTGCTATAATTAGGAGTTTAATTATGTGATAATAAACCACCTTTTGTTTCTCCTACTTTCTTTCTTGCTAGGTTTTGGTCACTAGATCAAACAAAATTTATAATATATTTTAAGATGCATGCTCCCCCATGTGGAAGGGTGTGCACTGTAATTACTTTGTATAATAAAAGGACTTGCACTAGCAAAAGCCTTTAATTTTAATGGTGATGCTATAACTTTTGTAGGCATGAGACAAGCTTAATTAATTTATATCCTATGCCGTTTTTGGTTTGTATATTAGTATCCGACTATTTGATTTAATGATAAGTATATATATCTTATTTAAAGAATTAGGTCGAATTTGCTTTTTTAAATCAAACTAGTTTAAATAATATATTAATTTTCATGAAATTAATATGATTAAGGTGGTTGTCTTTTGAAACAAGATAGGCAAATTGGAAGAATGTGTTGATCCTAAGCTTTTTGTCGGCAAGTTGGGATCAAGTGCGTGCTATAATGCAATACGAAAAGCACCAAAATCATTATTAGAGAGTGATTTGATGGAATACTAATTAAGTTTTGCTAAGTATGACCTACATGTTAATTAGGAGTTTTCATTTCTTGTTTGTTTATTTATTAATCAATTCACTAACTAATAATATTGTTTCTTATAATATTAAATATATCCCTTGAAAAATACCTACAATCTGAATAATTTATGTAATTGAAGCTGTTAGAATTTAAATTTTAATTAATAAAATTAAAATTTTAATACTCTATATCATATAAATTATTAGCACCAGCAATCTGACTTTCACAATGCATGTCAGTATCGGTGCTAAAAAGTTAAAAAGAAACGAAAAAAAATGTTCCTTTCTGCTGTTAAAACAAAAGAGGGTAGGAAGGAGTAAATCGACTATGGTAATTCTAATCATTCTGAAAGAAACATATGCTAGAAAGGGTTAAGACAGACAGAAATCCTGGATCATAAAACGAATTCTCTTCTTTATTGTACGTTCTTAATTTAACAAGTTTCACAGAAAATGTTGAATCATAATCCGAATCCAACCAATGTCTAGTCATCAGGAACATGATGTACTATAGTTTCAGAAACTTGTTGATCTTTTAGTCAACATGTTTTGAATGATATGACTAGATCAATAGATCTATTGTTGATACTCATATATCAACTTTAATATTATCCTTACATCACAAAATAATACCCAAAAAAAAAAGATTTAGAATTAATAAGAATTGATAATGGGCTTGATAAAAATAAAATTATATATTTTGTGTTTGATGAATTTATATGAATTATAATATAATAATTTTTGTGTTTTATTTATATTTAATTATAGATGAGTTGGCGTTAAACTCAAGTTTTTTTTTTTTTGCATTAAATCAATATAATTAAATTTCACTATGTATATACAAGACAAACAATGGGACTTTACTTATAACTCATAAATTTGCATGAAACTTAAGAAATCATAACTAAAATATTTATAGAGTCATGTCCTAAACAAGTGCAATATCTAGGAATCATTATTTTTTTTATGAATAATTACTTGGTGAATTATGCTTCCCTTAGCATGAAAAAAATTCATGCAACTTTTTCAATTTGTTAATTTGTATAAATATTTTACTCCCATTATCCCATTTTTGTTGTCCATCTTTTTTTTTTGACATATCTCAAAATTATGTCTTATTTTTTTTTAACATTGAAACCTTTTTTTTATATTTTAAAATTATTTTTTATGATTTTTTTTTATTTTTTGACATTAAAAATTTTAAAACTTTAATTTTATTAAAAAATTTTAAAATTTATTATTAAATACATTGAAGTCAAAACTTTCTTTTTAAATTTCGTAAAATTCAATATATGACAAATATTTTGAGATAGGGAAGTGCTAATTAATGAAAATAGGACATGCATGGCAATGAAATCATTTATTTTAATCAAGATATGAGAGTTTTCACTTTTTTATTGGAAAAAACTAATAATTGACAGAGGTCATTATATATGATCACTAATCCAAAATAGAGCTTTGAAAAAGTGAATTATAACAGGTTGAAAGACATTAACATACAACAGCATGTATACAAAGATTACTTAACTACCAAAACTGAATCACCATTTAAAAAAATCAATTAGGTTTAAGAATCACTGCAAATCCAAGAAGCATTGAGAGATTATAATTATGAAGCCATTGTTGACCCATGGAAATGCACATCAATTCAAATTTATCTTAATAACAAGATTGGATGATTTGGCTAAAAATTATTTAACTTCAAGCACATGAGGGAAATATATATATATATATAGTTTTTTTTTTTATATACATTTGAAGTGAAATTTTAATTTCACAAGTTGTTATACATCTCATTCTTTAATTAACTTTTTTTTATTTTGTGTTATAATCTAAAGAATATGTATCACTTTGTTAACTTTGTTTGTAGAATCTAAAAATATTATTACAGTGGATTAATAATTTTTTTATATATATGTATAATTATTTTAATTCTTTTTTAGTTGGTTAGTATCTTAAGCAATGCAAAGTGAATGAGGAGATGACCTAAAACCTTTGCAACATAATTCACTGGCTCTAATCATGGTTGCTAGAAACATTAATAAGTATATAACTAAAGGCAATATTTAAGTCTCCAGAAAATTAGCTGAAATATATACTCCCTCTGTCTCATTTTTTTAATCCAACTTTTTTTTTTTTTGGATATCATAAAATTATGTTTTATTTTTTTTAAATATCTAAAACTCTTAATTTTTAATTTTTTGATATTAAAAATCATGAAATTTTAATTTTATAAAAAATTTAAAATTTAATATTAAATATATTAAAATTAAAATTTTTTAAATTCTATGAAAATTAATATATGACAAATATTTTAGGATGGACAGATTTTTTTTCCTTTAAAAACATGAGGCATTGATTTTTTATTTTTTATTTTTTTTTGCCTTTAGGCACAAACAAGAAAAGTTGCCTTTCAAGTGCAGGCCAAGGCAATGATTAAAGGAGAAAAATAAAAGGGAAAAGTTATTTTAAGCAAATTGTCAAATTTCTCAATGAATGAAAATGATTGAATAAAAGGCAACTAAATTCAGCATCCAAAATTCCAAATCCAAAAGAGCTCTTAAAGTTTAGCCACTTGGGTCATCATATAAATTATGCCTATTTGTATTTTCTTCGGCATCTGCTCAATCTGATTTTGTGGTATGAAAATTTCCCTTTCCTTTTCTTTTTTTGGTTGCCATAAGATTGGACTGTCTAATAAAAAATAATAGCTATATAGACTCTAAGAATATATATATAAATTTTGTTCAATTTGAATTTTCGGTTAAAAATATCAATTTGAATGATATTTTCCTATATTATTCTATCACCTTTTTTTAGTAACAAATTAAAATAAATTATATATATGTCAAAATTTAATAACTATTCCCATAAACTGTGTTTAATTGTAAAAATGTAAACATTTTGAATTTGAATTTATTATGATTTAATTTTGATAATTTTAAATTATAAAAATTAAAATAAATAACCACCCTACATTGTTTTTTATGGCTTTAGATTTTAAAGGAAAAATAAAATAAGAATAATAAAAATTAAGTACAACTAATTAGTTGATGATTTTAATACATTGAAAGAGAGTTCTAGCCTATGAACAAAAACAACATTTTTTTTTTGTATTATTTGTTGCTTGTGGAACACTTCTAATAGGAAATTACTTGCTTGTGAGAAAATTTTTACTTTAATTTTTATACTTCTTAATTAATGAAAAGACTTGAGACCAACTCTAAATGCCTTTTAATAATGAATGAATTTGTGATTTTTTTTTTTGGGTATAAGGGAGCCTAGACCAATTCTCTATTGTTTAACATTAACGCTCCATTGACGAGAGTGGGGTTGTGGCCATCTGGCATCTGGTAAAATCACCTCACCAAATCAGCAGGTGGAGTTTGTGTCGGTTAGATGTCTCTTCTGTCACTCTTTCCTTTCTTTCTGATAATGCTGAACCTCTAAATCATCTGATCAAAAACAACAGGTGTGTAATTATATAATCATTTTCATAAATCCTCCATTTATTTTCCTATTTTTTCTTGCAAATTCAATGACACCCAGTTCTTCATTTCAGCTTATTTTATCAGTTTTTTTATTGACTTTGTTGCAAACTTTAAGCTTTAATGAGTTCAGTTGCCCTTTTTCCTATGTGGGTTTTCATTATAAATCAGGTTTTTCAAGAATATCATTCAGTATATGCTTGGCAAATAATCAGTTTCAAGCATGTTTATGACAATTAGTAGCCATGTTACTTTTAAGTTGTTTGATTGGTTGTTGGAAATTCAGGGCTTTTACATTGATCTTTGGTGGAAAATATTTTGATTTTTTCACTCATTATTGATCCCCATTATTGATCAGCTATGATCATTTTTTGTTCTTAGTTCTTTCCTTTTTCCTGATTTTGCTCCTCCTGGTACCCCTTTTCCACTGTAATATCATGAGGATTGTTTTTGAATATTGAATTCTTTAATGTATATTTTTTATAGTTAAGTACTTAAGTTTTATTCTTTAATGTAAGTTGAGCCCTTTTTGGCACTTTAGCCAAAAAGTTTGATAATCTTGCTTCACGCTTGCATTGTTTGACTTGCATTCTTCCTTACAATGAAAGCTGGTTCTTTTTTGGAGGATTGTATGGGCTATGGCTGTTCCCAAGGCTCCTCCCCTTTATTACTTTTGACTTGAACTAAGATTTCTTATGGTGCATTTAGCAGATCTTGGAGTAGATTAAGGCACCTTACTTGGGATTACAGATTTTAACTCCACTTTGCAAATAGCTTTGGCAATTTGAATATGTTAATGTCGAAATCGGACTAGTCAATACTAGAAAACCGAGCTACAATCAAAACAGCACGGCATTTTTATTAGATTTTAGAAGCATCCAATAATTTTTTGGCTTTCTTTTTGTACCTATGCAAGGATAGATGAGCGCTTGGGACCATTGAGGATAATTGACCTCAGAATCATTCATAAGTAACACTGCCCCAAGATGATAAAGCCTTTTATCTCTTCCTGAAATTACCCTTATCTTAGCTATTTCTGCAAAAGAAATGGCCCTGTCCATGGAATTGCAATGGTTTCAGCATTATACAGTGTTGAATGAACAAGGATGATTTCTAATTTATCAACCTACCTTCACTGAAGTTGGCTTCTAAAATTTTATTTAAATACCGTCAAATAGTTTCTTCTCGGCAGGCTTTATCTTATTGAAAACTGTAAGACAATG